CAAGAACGGTTAAAAAGGAATTAGACACAAAAAAAGGTGGAAGAAGTATGTAACACAACTGCAGAACTTTCAGTGTTTTTTTCCTACCTGTTCCAATCTGGAAGTGTCTTCTTGTAAATAGAATCAAGGGGTAACACTTGTTGTCGACCTTGAGTTTCATCAAAAATAGAACGAGCTGCTTCAGTAGTCAATGTGACTACACAGTCCATGTCACTTGTCAAATGCCAAGAGATAACTTTTGCTGCTTCATTATCCTCTATTTGAGCCAAATGTGCAATCTGTACCACAGAAGTTAGAACAGTTAAAACAGAAGCCAAGACCACCTCCCCTTTTCATACTAACCGCAATAATCCTGCAACTACAATCAGACATTTAATCCCCCTGTTGGTGTCTCTGTTAGAAGTGCTGGTCATCTGATGGGATGAGAATGCTCTTTTTTAAAATACTTCTCAAAAATTATTTTCATATTCAGTTGGCTGATTTTTCATAACTACCACTTCCTGGAACCAACAAAACCTATTGGAAGGCTCCCTGGTAGAAAACTCACCTTGCCGAGAATATCCTGGTTGCCTTTTGGATAGTTTGGGAGGGTACAAGTTCTCCTTGGCTGCTTCATTACTCCTTCTTGATCCAACATCTTTTGTTTTATAAGAGAATCCACATGCTGAAGCTGAGAATGAAAATTTAAAATCAACAAGTATGTATCATTGGAACAAGCAGCAGAAGTCGTTACTTTACCTGTCATCAATCAAGTTCTTAACAAAAAACATTCTATAATAGACTTTTAACATATAGGAGACCACTGCACATAATCTCAGAGAAAAGGGAGGCACATTGCAACTGTGACTGAACTTTTTAATAACTCCTTTTTAATTTTTTTTAGTTTTTATAGGACTTCAAGGAACTTTTCACAAAAAGCTATCAGAGCTTGATTAGAGCCAAAACTGATGAAAGTTTAAAACAGCAGGAAGAGACAACCATGAACGTACAAAAAGAAACCACTTCAGAAGGGGACTATGTCCAGGTCTGAAAAGTGTAGCCAGCAGAGGGAGCTGGGGTACCATGACTGCAATTTAATTCTACTGATATGTGTT